GGGGGGGGGGCATAACACTAGTGGAGCACTTTGGCATTTAGCAACGCCAATGGGATATTCCATATCCTGTAATGTCACATTCAGCACATACATGAGGGCTGCCCAGAGGCCTCTCTCTTTCTCACTCCTCTGGGATTGAGCTTTTGGGATTGTCTCTGCTCCGAGATCACCGGCCGGGGACCGGGCTGGGTATCAATCAGTGGGTAGTGAGCAACTGCACTGTGCATCACTCATTTGTAAATCCCAAAACTACTGCTACTATCATTATTATCATCATTATTTATTCAAGCCATTTGCCAATGTGTTCTTATCTCAACCCATGAGTTTTCCCACTTGTACCCTTCCATTCCCCCAGCCGGGGGGGGGTGAGCGAGCGGCTGCGCCGTGTTTGGCTGCCAGCCGGGTTATAACCACCACAACTCAAGAGTTGACTTTCTAAAGGAAAAGCCCGAGCCCTTCGCAAGGGAAGAGTCTGAGCCCCCGGCACGACCCCTTGTGCCTTCCCCAGCGTTACGTGCTCCACTGGCACAAACTCCGGGGTCTGCCAAAGGCAAACAGACTCATCTTCCCTTTGTAGCCCCAGCCAGGCTTACCTGAGGGCAGCTTCTTCTCCAGCATCTTCACTCTCTCCCGCAGCTCGGCCAAACCTTCTTTTTGCCGCTGGATCGTTTCCTCGTGCCGGAGGCCTCGGCATTTTGCGCCGAGATCGGCCAAGTCCAGCGCCGGCTCCTGGAAGAAGCAGACCAGCTGCACCATCTACCTCAACATCAGCTCGGCTTAACCCTGGCTTAAACCCCGCCTCGCTTAAAGACGCTGGACCCTTGACGTGTGCCCCCGGAGCATCACTCCCTGTGCCCTCTCCGTGGATTTGTGGGGTCACAGAGCAGCGACAGAGACAACTCTCACACACCACTGAGCTGGCCATGCTCTGGTGAGGACAACAGCCCTGCAAACACCCCAGAGAGCTGGGACAAGGGACGGTGAGGGCTCTGAGAGCTGGGCCAGGGACAGTGAGTGGCTCTGAGAGCTGGGCCAGGGACAGTGA